GGGTCTGCTGGCCAGCCTACTGCCTCAGAACTATGGGCTCTGCAATATACCTTGCCCAATGCACTTTAAAAGGCTCCGTTCATGTGAAGTATGTACTTTAGTACTCCAGACAGAGAGACCAGTCGTTAGCCCTAATTCTCTGGAACTATTTTGGGCATGGGACCAGGTGCACGGTGGGACAAAAATAAGACTTCCTGAACCCCTGAACCGATCTGGGTGATTTTTGGATATGTTTTCAGTTCACTCAGATCGGATGTAAGATTAATGGGGATATGTTGTGTTTTGGGGTACTTTTGGGGTTTTGTAAAATATGTGCTTTTTTTATGCTACAATTTTTTAATTGTATCACAGGCAGAGGGGAGGGATTGTGTGCTGTATGTGGGAGTGTCAGGCATTGTTACATTGTTTCTATTGGTCTGTACAATTTGTGTCCTGTGCCCCATCAGGTCCACTGGGTGTTCCTCTGGCCTGAAAAGTTGTATAAAAATCCAACCTGTACCATTAAACTCTCAGATCATCTTGGCTCATGTTTGGGGGAATTGGAGACCTACACTCTGGGGATTGCTATAATCACTATCTCCCCAGAGTATAATCACCAAGCTCTTGTAAGAGCTGTTCCTGCTCTCTGGATTAAGAGAGGTCTACCTACTGGAAGCTGGATCCTGGTCCAGAGTGGATGGAGGACGGCAAGACCCCAACCAAGCTGTGGCGGTTCGTGGGGTCTGCGGTGGTTATGGTGCTCCAGTACAGTGCTTATGGTACTCGTCAGTACTAGGAAGCAGCGATTGACAGAGGTACTTCGTCGGAGTGCCAGGCGGTCCTTCACAGTGGGCTAAACCCAATCCCCCCCCCCCCCGCTTTGGGTCTATACAGAAGACTGCGGGCAAGCCTTGGACGTTTGTTTTGCCATATAAACATGCCCACTGCCTTTTGTATCCCTGCTAGATCTCCCCTGGTAACTCTCACCAGCAGGGTTTGAAATAGAAATAGTAGTCTGCGCAGTATGTTCATCTTAATGGCGTGGATGCGTCCCAACTAAGATCGGTTTGTCTGTCCACTGTTACAGCTCTCTAACAAGGGTGCGGAAAAGAGGGACATAGTTTCGGTTAAATAATAATGTAGGATCAGCTGTCAGACGAACACCCAAATAAGTGAATTCTTCTGTGGAATCTTGAAGTGATAGGTATTTTGGATTAGTGCCATGTCCGGGGGTCAAGAGGTGAAAGGGCATTGACTTTCTATCAAGATAATTATCCATAAAGACATAGGAGCGTTGTCAAATGCGTCAAAGAAGCTAGTGAGTCTGGAAGAGTCAGGAGGACATCATCGACACAGACCGACACCTTGAATTGTTCCAGTACCCCTACCCCTTGTATGTTTGGGTGTGTCCTGATAGTGTAGAATAGTGGTTCTAAAGTAAGCGCAAACAGGAGTGAGGAGAGGGGACATCCCTGCCTCATCCTGTTACTCAAGAGGAATGGGGTTTTATTGGCTCCAGTTATTAGAGTATGGGCTTGGAGGTCAGAGTAAAGTGCTTGGATTACCTTCACAAAAGCATCCTTGTGATTTTAGAATAAGATGGCCATGTGACCCTTGTCACGAACGCACCCTACTCCAAGAGTGTGCGTGACGTAGTTGTGGTGGTGAAAGGGTTAAAGTACACTATTTGTCTGCACTAGACCGGAAATAATGACAAAATCCCCCTTTAACACCACCCACACTTAAACATAATAGTATAACTATTACTACTTTAACGCTGCCACCACCAAGACAATTTATAAATGGGGTGCCTTGGTCCCCCAGGTAAATCAATAATAAAACCCACCAAATATTACTTAATACAATACTTAAGGAATTGCAAAAATACTAACTAGTCTCTTCAGGTAACGTGATTCTTAACCAGACAAAGGCAAAACTTAATAAATGAATGTTTATTATGAGCAAAAGATAGTCACAGTACATATAAAAATATATGATAAACAAATTATTTACACCAACAGATAAAAACAAAAAGGATAAAATACAGAAGTCCTAATTACTCACTTAGGTTTTCAAAGTACAACTTCTGTCCAGGGGGTCTCTGGCAAGGAAAGATGGTGACTCACCCAAAATTAGATCTTGGCCCCAAGCAAGTACACCAACACCCTTCAGGATCATTAGATATATACCCTGTGGTTTATCAAGTCTTGCCCAGGGGTGGAGTTAAGGAGTACCTACAGAAATAATAACTGACCACCTCCTTTGTTCCAGACCACTGTCAATCCAAATGGAAACATTTGGCTCTATCTTCTTTTTTGTACCTGCCACAGAAATAATAATTGCATCTACAAATTTGTTATTATTTTCCCATTCCATAGACATGTTGCACGTCCCACCCACGATCCAATAGGACGGACATCACAATTCCTTTCCTTAGGGTCAAGTTAGGCCACTCATGTTTGGACTTGGTTAGAAGATGGCGCTTGTCACATTCCAAATATAACAAAAATGAGGCTTAATTATTATTCTGTGGGGGGTAAATATGAATGTTTTTGTCCTTCCTTTGGATATGATACTAGAACAAAGCTAATGGCATTTACATATCAAAGAGATTTACTCATCACTTACAAGGTATAGGCCAAATGGATGAAGAGACATTCAGACTTTTTCCAAGTGTAGAACCTCACACCTTGCAGACTTCACATCCATACAGTAAAATCCTTTTCACATTCCTATGCCATTCACACTACCCCTTCTGTCATCTGCCCTCTGTTGGGGTCCCAGCTTCAAAAGATGTAACCCCTGTTGACCTCAGCAATAGCATCTCTGTAATTTGTGCCATTTACTACAAGAAATCACATTAAAAGATGATATTCCATAGTGTAATAATAAATTATACACCCTTGCCGTGACACCTCCCCCAAATAAGAGACGCAATGGGAGAAGGCTCACATGCCTCTACCTTGTGTATCAACACTTGTTCCTTTTTTGCCTCCACCTCATATACTCATCTTTTTCAGAACTCTGGTTCTACATGAATGGTGTAACCCTCACATGTTCACACACCTCCCCCAAAAAGGCTTGCCCTTTGTCCCTAAGCCATATCACAGCCATATCCACAACACGCATGCCTGATTTGCCTGTTTCCATCTCCCCCTGCGCTCTGATCACATCTCTCAGGCCACACCCACTGCGCCCGTGTAGTAGCTCTAAGGGGAAGAAACCAACCGATTTCTGCAGTACTCCCCTGTAAGCACACACAAGATGAGACAGAGGACACTCCCAGGGTACCTGCACTGTATCCACACTCCTTATCTGTTTTATTTTGTGGTCTGTCTGCTGGGCTCGTTGCACCTTTTTACTCTGAACCTTTGGTTCAGAATCAAAAAGTTGCTTAGAGACAGACACCTTCTCCTGAGCTGGCTTGGGTGTATGTTGGAGGTGTGATTGTGATATGCTGACAAGGATGGTGGTTCCCCCATCAGTATGTTCCCCTGCGGCCATTTTCCCTGGAACCACAGGTTGAGACTGTCCATGCCCCTCACTTTGGGCAGACCGTGGACGGGTCCCCCTATCTACTGATGGAACCTCTGTCTCTCCCTCACCTCCACTCCATGTCCTCACACACACAGCACCTTGGGAACTGGCTGAGGCTTGTGCAGAGTAAGGCTCACACACACTCTGCCCTCCCTCAAAGCCATGCTCTCCCTCCACACTTTCACACAGCCCAGCCAATACATTGGCGTCAGGCAGATTTTGGCACACATATTCATTCAACCCTCTCTCCCTAGAATTCTCTTCCTGCACATTGTCACATAACACCGTTAGCACCCCTTGGTCAGGCACTGGATGTGAAACACACTCACGTAATTTCCTCTCCCAGCCAGGCCATCCTTCTATAATCTCACATAGCCACTCACTTTGTCCTTGTTCTGGCACCTGACATACTCCTGACTGAGATACAGGTGAACACATCAACTCATCCTGCCCTGGTTCCCAATGGTTTGATCCACTTGTGTTTTCACCTGGCATCTTAAACAACCCTGGCACTGACACAGATAGGCACACACGCTCATCCAGCCCCGCCTCGCTGTGCAGCTGTTTTTGCCCACTCACACATGGTATTACAGGCACCCCTAGTGCTGGCACAGACACGCACACATGCTCAATTTGCCCTCGCTCCCAGCACAATTGCCGGCATACACCTTCACCTGTTTCCACAGACACCCCTGGTTCAGGCACAGATTGATACACATTCTGCCCTCCCTCCCAGTGAAGTTGTCCTGGCAAACTTTCACCTTGTACCACAGACAACTCTGGTTTTGGCACAGCCTGGCACACATGCTCATTCTGCCCTCCCTCCCAGCAACTTTGTCTTGGCACATTCTCACATGATATTGCAGACACTTCTGGTTCAGGCACAGACCAGCACACATGCTCAGTCTGCCCTCCCTCCCAGCACAATTGTCTGCATACATTTTCACAAGTTTCCACGGACACCCCTGGTTCTGGCACAGATTGACACACATTCTGCCCTCCCTCCCAGCGAAGTTGCCCTGGCAAACTTTCACCTGATACCACAGACAATTCTGGTTTTGGCCCAGCCTGGCACGCATGCTCATTCTGCCCTCCCTCCCAGCAACTTTGTCTTGGCACACTCTCACATGATATTGCAGACACCTCTGGTTCAGGCACAGACCCGCACACATGCTTATTCTGCCCTCCCTCCCAGCACAATTGTCTGCATACATTTTCACATACTGCCCTCTGCACAGTAGGGCCCCTATGAGGCTTGGGTTTATAACATACATTACTTTCTGGCACATACTGTGATAACAATCTACCTAAGTCAGTACCAAGTAATACATTTGCAGGGATATTCTCATCTACCCCCACATTTCTGAAACCCTTCCCCACTCCCCAATCCAAATAAACTCGTGCCATTGGCACTACAAGTCGTACCCCCCCAATTCCTTTAACTGCTAGAGTCCTGCCAGGAATTAACTCCTCAGAGCGCACTAGCTCTGGACGCACAAGAGTCACATCTGCCCCAGTGTCCCTGAGTCCCACAGTTACCTCTCTTCCAACTGTCACAGGTTGCAGATTCACATTGTTGCTGCCTTCTGATCTGGTTACAAACAACACAGAGGACGTTGGTTCTGAGGAGCGTCCCTCCCCAGCTGATGATGCTGGCTGCCATTTCACAGGGCAAGCAACACTAATGTGCCCCACTTGGTTGCAAATAAAACACCTGCGACTATCTCCTTGCGCAGACATGGCACTAGCTCCCCCTCTCCCTGAGGTAGGAGCTGAAACAAAAGATGGCCCGCTAGGCCTGGTGATGGGGAGGCGTGGTGGTATGGTCCTCCAGCTGGATGTTCCCTTAGCAAACCCTCTGCTCCGGTCCACTGTTGCTCGGTTGGCAGTGTGGACATCTGCCAGCTTACCCGCTTCCAATGCTGTTTTGGGGTTCCGGTCCAGCAGCCATTCCTGTACATCAGCTGGGCAGAGCTGCAAAAACTGTTCTTTTATTAACAGGTCTTGCAAACTTTCCAAAGTGGTAATCTCCAGCCCTGTAGTCCACTGTCGGAATGCTGTCACCAGGTGCCCCACAACTGCTGCATAACTTTCTGTGGGATGCTTTTGCAAAGTCCTGAATTTCTTTCGGTACACCTCAGGAGTAAGGTTGTACCTTTCCTGCAAGGCAGCCTTAATTGCATCATAGTCCTGGTCAAATTCTGCTGGAAGCGCAGCAAATGCTTCCAGTGCAGGACCTCTGAGACCAGGGGTGAGGTATTTTGCCCACTGGTCCTTTGGTAGCTGGTACTGCCTGCAAACTTTTTCAAAACTGCGCAGGAAAACATCCAAATCACCATCTTTGTCCAAAGTTGGGAAATTCTCTGCACGTGGTTTGGGTGCAGAAGAGTCTCTTGAATTAATTCTTATAGGGGAGGCAGTCAACCTCTCTAACTCAGCCATTTTTAGCTCATGCTCTCTGGCAGCTTGTCGCTCGGAGGCCTCTCTCTCAGCCTGCCTCTCTGCAGCCTCCCTCTCAGCAGCCTCTCTCTCCCTCTCAGCTTGGCGCTCTCTCTCAGCTTGGCGCTCTCTCTCAGCTTGGCGCTCTCTCTCAGCCTCCTGATACTGAAAGATAAGCTGTAGTCTTTGGTTTGTGTCTGCTGAGTCCACATATTTCAACACAGTTTGTAAGTAACAATCCAGAGGATCTCCAGATCTTGGTACATCACTGACAAAAGCTACAGGTATCTCCTCTGCAGTGTTTGAGGCATCACTTTGCACTGCTTGTTGCCTATCATAGTCCACCAGTGCTTGTAATAGTTCCTCTTTTGTTTTCCCCCGACAGGGAATAGATCTCTCCCGGCAAAGCTGGTCTAGCGCTGCCTTGGATTGCGTCTGGTACTCCATTTAGTAAATAAAAGATAGCAAAGAAAAAACAGAGAAGGGGGGGGGACTGTTGAGGTGTAAATATATTATATATGCACTGAGTTCAGCCTTTGGAAATTGAGACACAATTTCTTTTAGTGCCTGGATTAACCAACAAATCCAGCAACACTAAAATCTGGTACAAAAAGATGAAAAATCTTTTTAGTTATCCCACCGCTATGCCACCAATTTGTCACGAACGCACCCTACTCCAAGAGTGTGCGTGACGTAGTTGTGGTGGTGAAAGGGTTAAAGTACACTATTTGTCTGCACTAGACCGGAAATAATGACAAAATACCCCTTTAACACCACCCACACTTAAACATAATAATATAACTATTACTACTTTAACGCTGCCACCACCAAGACAATTTATAAATGGGGTGCCTTGGTCCCCCAGGTAAATCAATAATAAAACCCACCAAATATTACTTAGTACAATATTTAAGGAATTATAAAAATACTAACTAGTCTCTTCAGGTAACGTGATTCTTAACCAGACAAAGGCAAAACTTAATAAATGAATGTTTATTATGAGCAAAAGATGGTCACAGTGCATATAAAAATATATGATAAACAAATTAGTTACACCAACAACAGATAAAAACAAAAAGGATAAAATACAGAAGTCCTAATTACTCACTTAGGTTTTTCAAAGTACAACTTCTGTCCAGGGGGTCTCTGGCAAGGAAAGATGGTGACTCACCCAAAATTAGATCTTGGCCCCAAGCAAGTACACCAACACCCTTCAGGATCATTAGATATATACCCTGTGGTTTATCAAGTCTTGCCCAGGGGTGGAGTTAAGGCGTACCTACAGAAATAATAACTGACCACCTCCTTTGTTCCAGACCACTGTCAATCCAAATGGAAACATTTGACTCTATCTTCTTTTTTGTACCTGCCACAGAAATAATAATTGCATCTACAAATTTGTTATTATTTTCCCATTCCATAGACATGTTGCACGTCCCACCCACGATCCAATAGGACGGACATCACAATTCCTTTCCCTAGGGTCAAGTTAGGCCACTCATGTTTGGACTTGGTTAGAAGATGGCGCTTGTCACATTCCAAATATAACAAAAATGAGGCTTAATTATTATTCTGTGGGGGTAAATATGAATGTTTTTTGTCCTTCCTTTGGATATGATACTAGAACAAAGCTAATGGCATTTACATATCAAAGAGATTTACTCATCACTTACAAGGTATAGGCCAAATGGATGAAGAGACACTCAGACTTTTTCCAAGTGTAGAACCTCACACCTTGCAGACTTCACATCCATACAGTAAAATCCTTTTCACATTCCTATGCCATTCACACTACCCCTTCTGTCATCTGCCCTCTGTGGGGGTCCCCGCTTCAAAAGATGTAACCCCTGTTGACCTCAGCAATAGCATCTCTGTAATTTGTGCCATTTACTACAAGAAATCACATTAAAAGATGATATTCCATAGTGTCATAATAAATTATACACCCTTGCCGTGACACCTATGAGTCAGCTTGTTTTACGAAATGAGTGGACACGCAGGTCCGTAATAACTATCCAAGGTGTATATCTAGGTACTCTTACCCCATAGTGAGGGACAAGCATATCCATTTCTTGTATGACAGTACAGTTTCATGTGTAACAATTACAGGTGGGAGCTTTGTGTCATTTATAACAGGTATTCACTACTCGGAGCACCAGTATTCCCTTGATTGTTACCTATGGCTGAGCTCGTGTAGCGTTCGAGAATCCCTTCACCCAATTGTGGTAGCAAGATGCTCGTGTCTGGCCCCAGTGTGGTACTTATCGTGGTGTTATTTAGCCTGAGTGTTACCCTAGTGTATGAGGAAGATGTGGTTGGCGGCTATCTAGTGTTATTTATTCACAAGTGTGTCATAATCCTGGCTACTCGTCAGGTATCTGAGCCACAGTGTGACCCGTGTCTCCCAGGCCTATTCAAATCTCTGTGCATTTATTAGTATCCCTCTATTAGTGTACGTTGTGCCTCCCTGGAATCCTTGTGAAATGTTGTATTGGCTATCCATCCCACAGTCAGTCTACTCGGCCCCGACCCCCCCTCCACTCGGTCCCGGTGCTCAAGGATAAGGGGTAAGGAAGAGGTGAGGAGCAGTGGCGGTCGGGCCTCTTAGGGTGTGGTCCCCCTGGCACTGTCTGACCCAGCCTGCGCCCCCGGTGCGGGCCCCTGTGCGGCTCCGTCTCCTCGATAGCGAGATATGTATAGGAACCATGGCGTCCACATCTCCGTGTGCTTGGTCCCTCTTCCCGTTACAATAGCATGTGCTTCTTCTGCTCCTTGGATCTCTTCCACTCTACGGATCCACTCTTTTTTGGTCGGGATTTCACTTTTTTTCCAATGGACTGGAATAGTGGCCTTGGCAGCATTAAGCAGGTGTCGTAGTATCGATTTCTTATATGATCTTATGGGTTGTGTCGAGATGTGTAGCAATGCCAATTCCGCATTCCATTCCGGTAAGTCTCCCAGGATGATCGTCACTTCTTCTCTAATCATTTGCCAGAATGGGATGATAACCCTGCATTCCCACCATATGTGCAGTACTGTGCCGCGTGTTTCCTGGCATCTCCAACACATCGGAGGAATTGAAGGGAATATGCGGTGCAGAAGAACTGGTGTTCTATACCAGAAAGATATCAACTTATAATTCATCTCCTGGTAGTATGAGCTCATAGAGCTCTTATGCTGCCAAAGCAACGCCGTATCCCATTGCTGTGTTGTAAATGTTATTCCTAGTTGTTCTTCCCACTGCCTTTTGAACGTAGTAGCCGTAGGGGTGCCTCCGATTAGAAGATGTTGGTATAACGCTGAGATGGCATGTTCTATGTTGGTGCCTCGGTCGCAGAGGCCCTCAAACCACGTGAGGTCTCTATGCAAGCGATCTTTGTGCGGGAAGGAATCGTAAAAGTGTTTCAGTTGTAGATATCTAAATTGGAGGATAGGCGTCCGTGGTCTATCGCCTAGCATCGAGGGGAGGTCTCGCATCCTCCCGCCTTCGAGTGCCTTATGTATGGGTATGTATGCCCCAGTGTCCTGGAAGGGAAATGCTGCAGGAGGGAGTCCCCCCCCAACAGCTGTGTTATACGTGATCGGTATCATTGGGCTGGGCATAGGGGACACGTGGTCTTGAGTCCTCAGTGTTTTCCATCCACATATTGTCTGTAGGATCAATCCCTCCTCCGCCGAGCGGGAGGGTGATCTTTCAAGATCCCCCCAGATTTTCGTCTCCAACGTTGGTCCAATGAGGCCCCTGTCGAGTACCACCCATTGTTTAATTTCCTGTGTTGCGTGCCAATCTAGTATGCGATGCATGATCGTGGCCTGATGATATTTCCTAAAATCTGGAAGCGCTAGTCCTCCGCAGATTCTAGGTCGGCAGATAATGTCGTGTCTAATCCTGGATCTTCCTCCTCGCCAGACGAATTTGATCACCGCCGTTTTCAGGGTGGAGAAAAAGGTTGGAGGTAGTACGAGAGGTATGGTTTGCATGAGGTATAGGATTCTCGGGAGGATATTCATTTTAATCACTGCTATCCTCCCGTGCCATGTTATGTTAGGGTGAGACCAATTGGACAGGTCTGCGAGTATCCTCTTTAATAAGGGTGTAAAGTTATAGTGATATATATTCCCCGGGTTCGTGGTTACCCAGATGCCCAGGTATTTCATCTTGTCGTGGCACCAGTGGAACCCAAATTCCGGTTCTAAAGAGCGGTATTCATCTGTGGGTGCATGTCTCTTCTTCACCCCTTCCATCCATGTCTCTTCTTCCCCC